CTGCCTCCCTGAGGCCCGCGTTTGCTTGCAGAGGTGGAGGTTGAAGTGAACGACTCCCTGATGCGGTTTTTTGATCACTGCGCCAAGTTTGTGGCCTTGGTGGAAGAGAACGAGGCGGCGATGTGCCAGGTGGATGCCTTCAAAGAGGGGCCGGAGATGAGGAAGGTCTTGGAGAAGGTGGCGAGCGCCTTGTGTTTGCCGGTGGAGGAGCTGAACGCAGGTAACGAGTGCTTGTTACGGGTGGTTTTGTCTGAGAACAACTTCCCAGGCATGTGGTTTTGCAGAGTAGGTAATTTAAAACGTGCTCCGATCTGGAGATGCAGGCTCTAATTAAACCCACAAGGCTGTAAACATATATTGTTGCAGTCATGAACACTTGTTAGTCAGTGGTCAGAAGAAGAAGACATCTGAAAACGTTTTTCCTGTGGATGGAATCAACTTTACCTTAGTTTGGAGGGATGTGAGCATTCTCCATTTAATTCTCCTTTGTCTGGCCGATGTAGCTTTTGTAACACCTGATACAGTTCAAACGCCCAGCTGTACAGCTGGACCTGTAATTGTAATTTCACTTGTTCAGATTAGAAGTGCTAGGTTTCCCTGTGTGGTCAAGTGGTGGAGAGGCCCCTCAAATAGGTGTTGCTGCGTCCCTGAAGACGCAGTCCCAAAGTTGCAGCACGCTGCTGTTCAAACTCATCTGCTAATGGGGAGGGTGAGTAGTGGTGGTCAAAAACTGCTCTGTGTTGAACAGACACACCTTCCTTGTGGTAACGGTTGACACCTGTCAGTCGGCAGATGTGCAGCGTTTGATGTGAAATCCTTTCCTTTTCCCACTGTAATACTGTAATGCGAGAAGTTTGCCATTTGGATTCCATGCAGTAATTCCTTTGAACTTCTTATTTTTGGTGCTTGACCTTTGGACTGGTGATTATTTCTTGTACTGCGTTCTTTGCGTTGCTAAATTTTCGTTACGTCTCATTTTAGAGGCAAGTTGAGAGAAGGTTGCTTCGTGTGTAGCAGTGGTTTATCTTTTGCTTGGTTGTTGCATTTATTGCAGATCTTGTTCAAGTGGCTTTTCTCACCTGCTCGTATGAGTTGGCTATAAAAAACGTGACCTCCCCATGGTGTTCACTCTTCAGTGAAGAAGATGCCAAGGTATGTGCTAAACGGGAGGGTGTTTGAGAGGCTTTCAAAAGATGCCTTAGTGTTCAGATATAACTCCTTGCGCTGTCAGAAGTTGTAAACTGTGTGCCCCTTATTCTTCAATGTAATGAAGCACTGCTTTGGTCTCCAAAGAGCTGTAATTAATCAAGCAGGAAGACTGAAATGCCCTTCTTTATTCAGACTTAAGTACTGATGCAGTCTTGATTTGTCCTGACGAAAATTGTCTTTTCCTATTATGCTAAATTTATGTAATACTTTTATTTCTGTAGCATCAGAAGTGTTCTGAACCG